CCACCGCGGGTCAGGTCGCGAATCTGGGGAAAAGGGGGGGGGGGCTTTTTTTTCCACACAAAAAAAGGAGACGACTGACCAAACTTGGAGACTTCGGCCTGGATTTGGCACGCCAACTCGCGCGTGGGTGCAAGAATGAGAACGATGGGGCCGTCGCCGCGCTGGAGCGTGGGCTGTGCGTTAATGTGGACAATGGAGGGGAGGGCGTACGACAGCGTCTTGCCCGAGCCGGTCGCGGCAATGCCGACAACGTCCTGGCCAGACAGCGCCATGGGCCAGCCCTGGGACTGGATTGTGGTGGGCTTCTCGAAGCCTTGCTGGAGCAGCGTGGACAGCACATAGTCCGGGAAGCCAGCCTCCTCGAAGGTGCGGACGGGCTTTGGGACGTTTCGGCCGTTGACCGTCACTTCGCGCGAGCGGCGGAACTCGTCGACCTCCTGCTGCGACATGGCCGACACGGCCGGGTGCTCGACGTAAAAGTTCTTTTCGAACTTTGGCAGGCGCGACAAGTCCCACTGCGGCTTGGACAGCGGGCCGTCGCTGAAGCTGCCTCCACGTGCGCCGCCGCCATACGACGAGCCGCCGCCATACGATGACGACGACGACGACGAGCCACCGCCGTATGCGCCACCGTAGCCAGAGCCGTAGGACGACGGGCCGCTGCTGCCGCCGTAGCCAGAGCTGGAGCCAGGGCGGGACGACGACGAAGAATAACTGCGATCGCCGTACGACGACGACGAACCCGACGACGAACCATAGCGGCTGCTGCTGCTGCTGCTGCGGTCGTCAGAGCGGTAGGACGAGGACGACGACGAGCGGTAGTCACGGTCGCGGTCGCGGTCGTCGTCGTAGCGGGAGGAGGACGACGACGAGGACGAGTGGCGCGGAGGTGAGCGAGAGCGAGAACGATGCGACGACGACATTGCTTTTGTTCTAGAAGAGGATGGAAAATGGTATCAAAAAGAAGTGGGTTTTGTTAATACGAGAGTAGCAACAAAAAAATTAAAATTGAATGGGAAAAAAAAATAAGGAAAAAAAAGACTGCTGAGAAATTTGAACCGAGTTTGTTTTTGATTCCAAGTTGAGATTCTGAGAGTGAGAAGGAAAAACGACGTCAAAACCTCACAATAAGAAATGTGTTGCAGCGTCATTCATACAGTCCTAGTGGCAGAGCAGAGCAGCGAGATAGCGAGATTCTGAGCATCGGGAATGGAAATTGAAGCAGTTTGAGCTGTATCTAGATCAACAATACATGTACTCACATTGATCTGTCTCTTTGCTTGTTGCTCAACACTCACGCTGAAATAAACACCCGCTCATCTCTCTCTCTCAGCAGCGCAGTCCTTTTCGTCCGAGTCCTCGCCGTCATGTCTGGACTCGAAGAATTGCTGCAAAGCAAAGTGCTCGTCGCGACCACCGATGGCCGGATATTCGTCGTAAGCAACAGTGATTCCATTTTTTAGCGTATCGAGTATTAGCACAGATCTGTGCGATGGCTGGCTGTGCGAAGCGACAGGGAGAGCAATACTCAAACCCCCCCCCCCGTGCTCTCTCTCTCTGGCGTTGTACTGCTGATAGGGCACTCTGCGCGGCTTTGACCAGATGTGCAACATCATTCTAGAACACACTGTTGAGCGCGAGTTCAACGCACAGCGCGGCGTCGTGATTGTCGCGCTGGGTCTGTACATTATCAAGGGCGAGAACATGTAAGTTTTTGGCTACCGACTTGGGGAGGGGGATCGCAGTCCGTCCCAGCGGATGGAAGCGAAGGCTGATTGTTCATTCCCACGTTGCTCCAGCCGGGTGGAGGGGACGGTCGTCAGCAGAAGAGGGGCGCATTGAGGGGCGCATTGAGGCCTGGGTGAAACGATCCTTCAACGAATCCATTGCAGTTCCCACCTTTCCTTCTTGTACTGACTGTTTGTGAAATTGAAAAATGGGGGTACCTGCAACAGTGCTGTCGTCGGATCAGTCGATCCTGAGATTGATGAGAGCATGGACTTGTCGCAAATCATGTGCGATCCTCTGCCCAAGATTGCCGTTTGAAACAGACCAAACACAATCATCATGCAGTGTTCGTTGATGTGCTGCTACTGGAATTGTCGATTGGACAGAAACGCCAGCCCCGAGAGTCTCCATAAGTTCGTGTCCTGCTTCTGAATGAACAGCGCCGCTTTTATCATTGTGTGCTCGGTCGCTTGCAGCTGAGTGTCCAAACAATTTATTGGCAACATTTCGCGTCTCTTTTGCTCCCGCTCACCTCTCCCTGATTCACGTTAGCACTGTTTCGATTGTGACTCAAACACCAAACCACCTGCATCGCATGTACATCTCTCCATCAGCGAAAGAGAATGCTCTTTCCATGAAACGCAGCGTGAACTTTTGGAGCTGTCTGAGCTCTGTCTGTTCGTCTTGCTGGTCCACAGTCAAGTGAATCTCAGACACTAAATGTTTCGGCAAGATGTCTGCATCCAACAAGTGCGATTCGCCCTGGCCTGGAGACTGGCGAAGGTCATTCTCACAGGCAGCAGCCGAATTGTCAGCAACTACTCCCCAAACACCCCAAACCCCTCCTAACCTCACCCAACTGCTAATTAACGCACTTTACAATCCATCTCTCACTCGTAGTCTCAGAACGCTCCCAAATCCAGTCACTTGTCTTCTCTTTCAGTCTAACTTTCGCTTTGGGACAGGCTTTTTCAAAACTTCTCTTGCCTTTACCCCCCCCCCTCGCTCCCATTTGTGCAATGAGTCCCCGAAAGCTCGTGCCACAGACCAAGCCAACGTCGCCGGCGTCGCGCTTTGTAGATGCTTCTGCAACGGATGGCAGGCAACACCCGCGACGAACTGCTGCTGCTGGCAAGTCGCAGCAACCCGCCATGCGAACACGCGTCCCGTCACAGCCAGTGCCAGTGCGTGGACACCGAGCCTCAGCCCTGGACGAGGGCGACGAGGGCGACGAGCGGTCGTATGGCCATAGCGGCGCAAAGAGCACCGCGGCTGCAGCACGAAGCTCAGGCCTCCAGCAGCAGCAGCTGTCGAGTCCCGCGCGCCATCGCCCAGGCAGCAACAGAAACACGTCTGCTGCCGACGAGGACGATTCGCCTGACGAGGACGATTCGCTTGACGAGGACGACTTCAGGCCGAAGCACCGCAATCTGTGGACGACGGCAGAGATTGCGTGAGTACTTATAGCACGTTGCCAGCCGCTTCCTGGATTCTATGCGATTGGTGAATGAGCATGCGCTGGAGGCTCAGACCTTGCAGGAGGGAGACGCGAACAAGCGCCACCGCCAACACAATGGCAAAGCGAAAGTTTAACAACGAAAAAGCGCGGGGAAAAATTCAAAATTTCAAAACATTTTACTCTTTTGCTTCTTTTGGTGTATCGATGCTTTTGACACGTCAATCTGATTGAATTATTGGTGGTATGGGTGTGCCTTTTTGTTATTGGGTTTCTTGGCAACCCAACAGGGCTCTGAAACAAGGTGTTGAAAAGCTCGGTGTCGGCAAGTGGACGGCCATTCGAAACGATCCGCGCTGGTCGCACATCCTGAGCAGACGCACCCCGCAGAATCTGTACGACAGGTATCGAGTTGCTGGATTTAGAATGAGGCGGCAGCCACGCGAGCAGCCGTTCCGCAAGTTCATCCTGTTGGATGCAGACCACAAGCCCGTCATGGGAGGAACAGCAAAGTCTCCCGCGCCTGTCGTTTACGGACGAGGCGCTGCAGGAGTGGGCTTGGGCCGCGTACGCCATCCGCGTGACGCAGCCTTGAAAGCAGCAAAGCGGTAAGCCAAGCTGTTGGTCAGCGTCGTTTTGTTCGGTTTTCTTGTTTGCAGCTTGCGGAAATGGGGTTGCGTCACGTTCGCATGAAAGCTCATCAGTTTTATCATCTTTTTTGGTCTGGACCTTTCGGTGGACAGTGATGATCTGTATTCCCCTGAGGAAGAGACATGCACAATCTACCTTCGAGAGGTCGGCAACCAGTGCAACCAAAAGTTCCAGTCGCAAGATCCGCTCTCCGCACTGCCAATGCACTACGACGTTGTGTATGTGTTTTCGGGCTCGCGGCATTTGATTCCAGCACCAAAACTTGAGCGATTCGCCAACTACTCGCAAGTTTGGACGACACGCGCCCAGCTGATTCGCCGAGAGCCGCTCAAGTACGGCCGTTTTGCTGTTGTCGACGAGAGCCAAGCGGCGGACGAGAGCGCAGAGACCGAACAGAAGACTACTCCGAAGAAGAAGAAGAGTGCTCCCAGCAAGCCCATTCGTGCTGCTGCAGTTCGCTCTCGAGAGCAAGAGCTTTCGAAGCGACGGCAAGCCGTCGAGGAAGCTGAAGACGATGAGGACGAGGACGAGGACGAGGATGAGAATGAATCGCTGCCCACAATTGCCCAGTCGCCTAGGCAAGCGACGACCGTGGACCGAGCACGCACGTCAGCCGTTCACAAGAGCAGTCGTTCGAGCACAAAGCCCAATGCATCAGCCACGCCATCTCGGGCGCCAGGCACACCTGCTTTTTCTAGTTCTTCTTCTACTGCTGCTGCTGCTGCTGCAAGCTCGCCAGGCCGAGCGGCATTCGGTGGGCTTCCGCCATTGCGTTTCAGTACGGCTTCCGCTGACACTGAGTTTCTCGGGTTTTGATTCGGCTCTTGGTCTGAAGCGCTCGCTCGCCTGAGTTCAAAGCGTTTTTGTTCCTGTACTCATCCTTGACTTGGTTTGTGTGCTGCTTGTTGATAGCTCGATGTTTGCATGTGTTGTTGCCTTGCTGCACCCTCGAATTTTCCATTCGATTTCCATTTTTCCCCTTTTTCGATTTCCCAGCTTTTCCACCCTCTGTTCACTCTTAATTTTTGTGCATAATTTCAAGCAATCATGGACGAAGTTGACAACCTTCTCAGCGACCTGACCAGCCAGATGAGCTCGGTTGGCATTGCAGGCTACCAAGGTTTGTGCCACAGTGCAGCTCTCCTCTCCTCCTCCGCCCTCCGCTTCCGTCTCTTCGCTCCCCCTCCTGTTCCTGTGTTGCTCTCTATCTGTTGATCGTTTCTGCTCTGATCCCTACCACCCAGTTCATCGTCCTCATCCTGTCGACGCTCCTTTTTCTTTTTTTTTTGGACTATTTTTTTGCTTTGACATTCTGTCTCCGACTGTGCTGTTTGTTCGACTCTGCCGCGTTGGCGACAAATCGACGGACGCTCTGCGCATTCGCATCCGCAACGGGCGGCCGTGACCCCTGGTGAACACCTCCGCAGCCCCAGCGCCTATTTGTTATGGAAACATTGGCAATGCATTTGGATTGCCTTTTTTTTTTTTTTTTTTTTTTTGGAAGGTGTTTGGAGATCCACTTGTTGCTGGGTGTGAGCTCTGAGCCACACAGCGCTACAAAGTGAGTGAATGAGTGAGTGAGTGATGCTCGTATGGCGTGCTCTGCGACGTTGCAAAATGGAAGGCGAAACAAAGTGCAGTCCAAAACTGCAATCGAAATTGACAGCAGCAGCAAAAAAAAAAAAAAAAAAAAAAAAAAAAAAAAAAAAAATCCGAAAAAATTAAAAAAAAATTCCTTCAGTTTCCTTATTGAAACAAGCGTTCGTTTTTATGTGTTTTTGTTTGAGTCAGTTTTTGGTTGTTGACAAAATCTGAGAAAGTTTGACATTTTGCCAATAATGCATCGATCACTGATGTTTTTATTCTTCACTCTACATCTGACAGGCAAGTGCACTCTGTGCAAGCAAAACATTATCAACAAGGGCACGTATGTCGAGGCGAGCGGATTGCGCTGGCACAAGCCGTGCTTTGTGTGCTCGGACTGCAAGGCCGATCTCACGCAGGACGGCTACTATGAGCTGAACAAGAAGCTCTACTGCAAGACGCACTATGTCGAGCGCTCGTGCGACAAGTGCGCAACCTGCAACCAGCCGATTAGCGATCAGATTTTGACGGCGCTTGGTGGCCAGTACCACCCAGAGTGCTTCAAGTGCGTCGAATGCCAGTCTGGCCTGCACGGCAAGACCTACTTTGGCGAGGCGTTCAAGTCGTACTGCGAGCCTTGCTACCACAAGAAGTTTGCCCCAAAGTGCGCCGCATGCTCCAAGGACATTATTGCCGCTGGCGAGAACTCGTTCTGCGTTCGTGCGTTTGACAACCGTTACCACAGCGAGTGCTACAAGTGTGTCGTCTGCAGCGTTCCCTTCTCCAACGACGAAGGCAAGGGCGCCATTCAGCACAAGGGCCAGCTGTACTGCAAAACGCACTACCAGACAGTTTCAGATTCGTAGATTCGTCCAAAGACGTGGAGGGTGTTTGTTGTACAAAATTGGCGTGCAAGGTTGAGATTGCTTTGGTTGCTCAATGTTTCTCGATAATGCAAAGCCATGAAACTGCAAAGTTTTCATTCGAGCTCATATATTTGGCATGGAACAATAACCGGTATTGACAAGTTCTCTATTCCACATGTTTTCGACCCACTCAAAAGCAATATCTAACAATTCGACTAAGGTACGGGATCGCCAGCATCGAGACCAAGCAGAGCGCGCAAGTTTTGTCCGGCCGGGTTGTGCCCCTTCTTGTACGCCTCGCGGTAGTAGCGGACTGCGGTGCGGCGGTCTTTTTTGACACCTTTTCCAGTCTCGAGACAGAGCGCATAGTTGAAGAGACACGTCCCAATCCCTCGATCTGCGCCGATGCGAAACAGCCGAGCGGCTTCGACAACGTCTCGCGGAACCGTTGACGCTCCGTTGAAAAACAAGACGCCCAAATTCGCCAGGGCCGGGCCGTGAAACTGCGCCGCAGACAGGCGATACAAACGCACAGCCTCGTGCAAATCCCAGAATGTGCCAATGCCAGTTTGGTGCAGGCGAGCAAGATTGCACTGTGCGTTCGCATTGCCCTGGTTGGCCGCAAGCGTAAAGAGCCGAGCGCTCTCGGTCGGGTTGGGAGGGAGAACGCCTGCCACGCCCTCGCCGTGCAGTACACCGAGATTGCATTGGGCATTGGCGTCCCCTTGCGCGGCAGCAATCGTGTAGTGTTTGATGGCCTCGCTCATGTTCTTCACAGTGCCCGTCCCCGTCTCGTACAAGTAGGCCAACTCGGTATGCGACAGATGGGCAACTTGGAGGAAGGTGTTGAACGCCAGCGTGGGGTCTCGCGGCACACCAAGGCCTTTGAGATGCAGAACGGCAAGATTGTAGGTGGCCATTGCGCAGCCGCCCTCGGATGCGCGCTTGAAGAGGCGCGCGCTCAAACGGGGGTCGAGAGGAACGCCAAACCCTTCGTTGTGCATGACGCCCACGCCGTTGATGGCGTCGACACAGCCCTCCGCAGCAGCCAAACGGTACAAGCGCATGGCTTGGTTGGCGTCCCTTGCGACACCGAGCCCGTGATAAAAGCAGCGTGCCAGGTGGAAGTGAATGAGCATAGAAGGACGAGCAGTGGGCGGGAGTACAGGCGGGAGGATTTGCAAATCTTCAGAATCTGACAGGCCGTCTTCAAAGAGCGACGAGGACAAGACACGAGAAGTGGACGCCAGCTGCGGTGCAAACTGCACATGAGCAGTCGGGCGAGATCGCGTGGCACTGCTCAGTCGGTGTTGGTGGTGCGTGCAAGGCTGCAAAAACTGCGGGCAAGAGGTCATGTGGTAGGCAGGACTGCCGGTTTTGTTGAGCGAGCTCGGGAGAGCAGCACTGGCAGTGTCAGGATAGCTACTGGCAGGCGTAATGACACCAGACCAAGAAGCGCGCGATGCTTTTTGGGGAAACACGGCAGCGCTTGTTGCAACCACAGGCTCGGGCTGGACCAGGGAGGGAATGGCCGTGGCAAGCTGCTGCACACTCTCGCCAAAGAAGGTTTCGCTCAAGCGAGGCGGGGTCTCGCGCGTCGGGTCTTCGGGCGAGGAGGCGCGAGAGAAGATGGAGGGTGAAAGCAAGGGATCGGGCGATGTGGCGCGGCTCTCAATAGGGATGAAGGCTGAGGCTAAAAGCGACGAAGTTGGAGAAACCGCTTGCCTTCCAGTGGCCGGTGGAGCTGTGCTGGTGGTGGTGGTGGTGGTGGTGGTGGTCGCCGGAGCGCTGCCAGAGCTGGTCGTCGAACAGAACGCTGCACTGCTGTTGATGGAAGAGGACGAGCCCAGAAAGCTATTCGACAATCGCCTTCGGAAGGACGCGAAAAATGTTGTTGAAGGACTTTCGTCGCGCTGTCGAGGTGTGGTGTTTCCCGACGCGGAGCACGAGCCGGTTTGGGACGGTGCGCCAGATTTCGAGGACGCGGAGGCGTGAGCATCAATGACCGACAAGGCAATGCCGGCGAGGGACGAGTAGGACGCTCCAGCAGACACGCGCCGTTGCCCAGGGATGCGAGCAGCAGGCGAGGACATTGGATTGGGACTCGGCGAGGTTGGGCGCTTGATGGAGCCGACAGCCGACGTGCTCGACGCACGAGCTCGAATGGCCCGTTGCATGGTGTGTGGAATAGCAGATGCCGGCCCTCCTACTGGCGCAGAAGGAGCAGTAGTTTGAGGCAAGACGTTCGAGTCGTGGAGGTGCAGCGTAAGATCAAGCGGCGATGAGGGTCGTTGCGATGCACCGACAGCTTCCGATCCGACTACTGCAGATTCGGGTAAACCCTGGGGGCGCACCGGAGACAACGGAGGTGAAGCAAGTGCTGCGGCTCCAATCATTGTCGCATCAACATCAAAGCCGCCGCAATCGCACACGCAGCCACAGACGAACTGTGTTTTGTGCGCGGTTGTCGCAGCTGCTGCAGCAGAAGAAGACGAAGAAGACGAAGAAGGAGAAGCCGCATGTGGCTCTGGTGATATCAAGCAGGTGGCGGCTTGTGGCTGCGGGTCTGCGGGCGAGTTGAGCTGGTGGGCTTGAGCAAGTTGTGCAGCGGCCATTGCCAAGAGATTGGACGACGTTGGAGCCACCTGCTGCTGTGTTGCATTCTTTACCTTGCCCGCATCGGCCGAACAGAGCGTCGGGTGTAGATTGCTCACTTGGGACTTGTTGGACGCGACAGCACCCGAATTTACAGTTGCACTTGCGGTAACCAACTCGCGCTGGCAGGTAACATCAATCGCACGATCGTCCGGAACAACGTGCGCACCGACTGCGACACATGCACGCTCGCTGAGCTTGAGAAGCCAGTCAAAGCATCCCGCCTGGTTGGCCTGCCGCTGCAGCTCGTCGGCCTTCTCGAGGTTCTTGGCCAAACCGCCGAGCTGGTTGCGGTAAAACCAGGCGAGCATGTAGAGCGCGGGTCCAAACTGCTTCTCGGCCGCCTTGGCATACAGCTCTGCAGCACGCTCGCGGTGCCGACACAGCAGCGCCTCGAGTGCCTGGGGTGTCGTCGCTGCGTGGGCTTTGGGCCGAGGAGCCTGAGCTTGAGCTTGAGCATGGTGGCTGCTGGTATCAACTCCGACAGCTGAAGCTGAATCATCCTGACCCGTGGTGGCTGTTGTTGGCCGGGCTGCTTCGCTGTCTGTTGCAGCTTCCCTGTCTGTTGATGCTACTGCTGCTGCTGCTGGTCTGTCTGCTGTCGAGGCAAGCGAGTGGCTGCTGGCGGCTGCGGTCGACTGAGATTGCGCCGCAGAATCAACCACCCCAGCGCCGACGACCGCAACAGCACCAACGGTGCTCGACTGCGATGAGACGGTACTTGCTGCCGATGCATTTGCAGTCGATGCTGAAGCGGCCGTTGCGTCTAGAGTCGGCAGCAAGCGACGAGCAGCATCCGACGCGTCCACCACGTCCATGTTGCTGCGATGACTATTATCACCCTCACCCTCGTCACCCTCATCGTCGTCGTCGTTGGCTGGGGACTGCTGGTGGTCGTAGAAGCTGAGCTCTTCGTAGAGCGCGAGCATGAAGAGCGCCTCGCCCGAGCCGTTCGCAGCGGCCTTCTGATAGAGCGGCAGCGCAGACGCGGGATTGCCCAGGTCAAAGTACCGACGGTGCGCCTCTTCCATCGCGTCTGCAGTCGACCGCCGCCGTCGCTTCAGCAGCGCACTCGACAGCGACCGCAGCATTTATTGGAAGCGAAAAGCGGGAGAGGCGGGGAGAAGTGGAAGGAAGCAAAAGTAAGGGAAATCTCGGTGATCACGACGGACTCTGAGCAAGCTAAACTTGAAGGAGAACTGCATTGCTGTTTTTTTTCTGCACTTTTTAGTGTTTTAGTGTGTGTTTTAGTTCTTTTTTGCATGCATCGTGCTGCTGCTGCTGTTGTTGTTGTTGTTCGCTTCTGCTCTTCTGAGGGACGTAAGAACAGTGAGAGACAGACTTTATTCCCCAATCCAGTCTTCCTTTCACTTTTCCCTTTCATCTCTCTCTCTCTCTCTCTCTCTCTCTCTCTCTCTCTCTCTCTCTCTCTCTCTCTCTCTCTCTCTCTCTCTCTCTCTCTCTCTCTCTCTCTCTCTCTCTCTCTCTTCAAATGGTGCTGCTGAAGGGCTTCCGGGTGCTGGTCAAGTCGAATGACCTGCGAAAACTCAAACCGCACACTTGCATTGTGAAACCGACGCTCTTGTTGGGGTTTTTGGGGCGACTCGGATTGTGTGTCGAAACCTTGACAATACTTCGACTTCAACAGACCGAGCTGCTGAACACAACTGGAAGAGCAGAAGAAAGCAAACAGCAGAGATTGGGGCGACTCGGATTGTGTGTCGAAACCTTGACAATACTTCGACTTCAACAGACCGAGCTGCTGAACACAACTGGAAGAGCAGAAGAAAGCAAACAGCAGAGAACAGAAGAAAGAAACTGAAAAAACGGTTGATTTTCTTCTTTTTTTTTTTTTTTCTTTTTTTTTTTTTTTTTTTTTTTGAAAATGTAAGAAAGGTATGTGTTTTTTTGAATGTCTGTCCATTGATGGTTCCATTTGGCCCAACAGCAGCAGCAGCAGGCAGCAGTGTTCTGTGGTGGGGGATGCTCATCAGCCAGAACCAGCAAGCCTGGCTTTATGTTCCTCCAATGTTGCTTGCGAAAAGACTTTGACCTCCTGCGTTTCGCTGCGCTGAAGGTCGGCATTAGATCTGGAAGCTGGACCTGGAAGCTTTGAATGAGCCCGCCTTTTTTTTTT